AAGAATTTTGATTTCGTTTCGGTTGAGATCTTCGATTAAAAATGGTACCACTTTTATTGTTCTTTTAGCTTAAAACATGATCATTGATATTGCTAAAAAACTGATTTCATGCATGCAAAATCCAAGATATCTTTCTCATTGCAGAAAAATTTCATACTGAACCACATATGGCATACTTAAAATAGATCCTTCCAATAAGGAGATAAAATTTTTAAAATAAAGAAAAAGAACGGAGTCTCATTCCTCTTTGCTCCCAAAAAAAACCAAAATTACTCATTACGCATCTACTAAAAAAAAAACCCAAAATCTCTCTCCTGAATCATCTCCTCCCAAGTCACTTAGGCTCTACCCTTTCCCTTGCCCTTGTTGCTCTTGTTAGAACCACCTTGCTTGCTCGAGTTGCCCGAATTGAATTGCCTGCACAACACATCATCATCACTAACAGATTCAGAGCATATAAACATCATTTTGTTTTAAAATCATAGAGAAAGAGAGGACTCACTTCTTGTTCTGACCACCAGATGATTGACCACCGAATTTCGGGCTCTGGTTAGCATTCACAGGACTCTTTCCACCCTTTTTAGCTGGGTGTGGTGTTGCAGTGTGGCCACCCTTCTTCTTCTCTTCTGTAACAAGACAATCGAGTTTCTTCTTTAGCCAAACACATTTTTTACTCATTCTGATAATTTGTAACAGTAGATTCTTCCTTGCCAACCATTTATGCTCAAATGACTGTAGAAACAAGACTATACAACCTACAAAGACTAAGGTAAGAGTTTCACCTGTCTTTTGAGGAGTAACCGCTGGTTTCGCCTTCTTGCTAGAGACAGGAGTTTTGGAACCAGATTCATTGGCCCTCTTCTTGTTGCTCGGCTCAGGCTTTTCATAATTCAAATCAACAGTAAAAAAAGGTGAGAAAACAGAACTTGCTTGGAAAACAGAGCAAGTGTTAGATTGAACCAAATCTATCTATTTACCTGCTTAGGGGTCTCCTCTTCTTCCTCTGAATCATCCTCATCATCTGAGTCATCCTCATCAACATCCATCTAACAATAAACAACCACCATATAATTTATTACCCTATTCATCAAATGAATGTAAATCACAAGATCATAGATAGGCTACAGTTACTCACTCCTTTCTCAGAGTCAGAAC